AGCATTAATTAGTTAATATGTTAACAAGTTAATATAATAGTTTCTAGCATTAGCATTAACTAGCATACCCAGCCTACAAACTTGCCTTCCTAGGCTAGCAACTAGCATTCCTAAGATAGCTACTATTAACAACCAACCTACACTACTGACTAGAATTTCTAGGCCAGCAACTAGCATGTTTAAGCTAGTAATTATTATTACCTCACATCCTTATAATACTGACTAACATTCCTAGAATGATAAATAGGATCCCTAAGTTGGTGACTATTATTAACTAGCATCCCTGCACTAGTAACTAGCATTGCTAGGTTACTACCTAGCATCACTAAGTTATCATCCCTTAAGCTCCCAATTAACACTCCTAGGCAAATGAGTGACAATATTAAACTAAAAGCGAGCATTAATTAATAGAACCAGGCCTATATTTCTAAGCGAGTATGTCTAAGCTAGAAACTAGCAGAACTAAGATAAGCTGCCCATAGGGTTTTCAACTTTTTAACTATAAAATAAGGGGCACTCTGGTGTACCAGAAGCGCAGTGCACAGCCAGCTGGGCATAGTGTAATAAGAAAAAAAATATTCAAATAAAATACTGTAAATAGGGACTTCAATCACCCAGTTTATTATGCTACACAGACAAAACATCACCTTATTTTTACAAATCACGTATTACTCTTCACATCTAATGTGCATAATGGGCCATCACTGAATGTTGTGACTGGGCAGAAACAATCATCTGATACAACTGCAGTCAAATCAGATTTAAGTGGCATTACAGGTAATGGTCAATATATACAGGACATCTGAGGTAGAATAAGAGACGAACCATTTTTGCTCATTATACAGGATGTCCCAGCTAAAACGGGCAGTTGGCAACCCTACCTACACAACAATGGTCAAAGAGAAGTACAAGTTCTCTTTAATTAAGAAATATTTCCATAATAAATTAAGATAATTCCAAGAAACCTTGGAATTATATTTTCTGTATTTTCTATACAGAAAATACACAATTTCCAATTTTTTTCTTCCAAAACACTTTGATTTACATCAGTTTCACAAGTTGCTTATCCGCCAATAATAAGGTATAGATTTTTGTCAGCATGCAAAGCTTAAAAAGGAAGTAAAAGCACATTTTTACACATATATTCTGTAGATAAAAGTAATGTGGAAAGACACTATGAATTTGATTCTGTAAAAATAGTAGAGGTATACAGTTTCTTGCATATTACACTAATTTCTTTATGTTTCAGTTCTGGGACTCCACAGTAGCTTTGCATGACCTTTTGTATATTTATCTTATACGATCCATTTTTGTAGTCTTTTAGCTCATCATCCTTCTTAAACAAGACCTTTCAGCTCTTGTCTCTTTAAGACCCCCCTCCTTAAAAGTCCTCTGTTTTATGATTAGCAGACTTCTGGAAGTTTACTGAGGGGCAGCACTGAGCGTTTTTGAACTGTACTGATCATTCAGAAAAGTAAATATTAGACCATTGTGAAGCCTGAACATTTGGTCCACATATGTTCATTTTAATATATGTAACAAAAAATAAGAAAAAAGGTAACATCCATATGACGAGTAGAACTGAAAACAGAAAGAATGTTTGTTTGTTTTTTCTAGATAGAAATTAAATTTTAAAATAAAATAAAGACAATGATTAAGAAAAATAACACTGCGCTTAATGCTTTGCCTAAATATGAAAAATGACGTATGTGGTCCTTAAATCAACTATAGCTGCAGCCACTATTTTCCAGCCACTGTCCTCACTTTCTATACGTGAAGTGAACACATGTTATTCACCACATTATTTGTAACTGACTGGCGTATTTACTGGCCTGTTTTGGCATCACAATTGAATTTTGTCAGAGTTCCTCCATATTTGTTTATGTTTAGACTCTTGCAGGAAAACATTTTGTACCTTATGTAATCACGTCTTTGACCATGGCAGTCACAGCAGACGCCAACAGAGGCTGTGGTCTGCTTTTCAAAGCAGAGGAAAAATAATGGAACAACATTAGATTGCTGAAATATTTCAGCGCTGACTGTGTCAGTGCATTTAGACCAGAGTTTACCCTTCAAAGAGTGTTTGGGTTGTCCTCAGGACTGTCTGGAAAAATCTTAAATCCATGAAGACCATCTGCCTCCATCACTCTGAGGGAAAAAGGTTGTGTAACGGGTTTACCCAAATCAGACCCGCAAGCTGTGATAATTCCTTTAGATTACTTTCCAGTAACTTACATTACCCATTCAGTCAGCCATGTAATTCACTACAACTAACTAGAAGGTGTTATAGCTGCATGAAGAGAAATGTGTCTCAATACTCAAAAGTGTTTCAAATGCATACAATATGATCCAAAAGCGTAAACTAAGATTTAGAAACGTGTACATTTACTTGTGCGTCATTTTTGAGGACTCACAAAAGCATGGTCCAATCCACACAAACACAAAGCAGTCTGACCACATGTAAAACTATTTAACAAATAGGTATATCCAAACCCAAAAAACTATAGACCCCCTATGCTAAGCAAGCCTACCGCAGACATGAGCGAGACAGATAAATATGAAGGCATGCCGGTGTTGTGCCAAAAAGTGATTGTCTGCCAAAAACTGATTTCCGGTATTTGCCAAAAACTGATTACTCGTATTTAAACTGCTATAAGTAACTTGTTGGGCTATAATATGTGAAACATATGTCAAATGCATCCCTCGTGGATGACATAAAGTCATCTTGAGCCACAAACAACATTCGTGTAACAAGGTAGAAGCCGCAATCAGTTTTTGGCAGTGACTTTTATATAACCTTTATTTATGCAGTTAAAAAAATCTCATTAACATTAAAAATGTCTTTTGTAAGAGGTAAGTTGGCCAAGAGGACAGCAGACATGGCAGCAAATATTACAATATTTCTGTAAAAATATTTTAAGTGGGGATAAAGGACCGGATTGGTTATACTGTAAGTACAATAACACAGAGTTGTAAAGATACTTGAAAAACAGATATTGTTTTAATTCTCTATATAACCCCTTTGTAAACCCTGTTCACCGAAGTCTATTTACAAACATACGTAAAGATATTACACATAAAAAATACACAGAAACATTGGAAATCAGTTTTTGGCAGACAATCACTTTTTGGCACAACACCGGCTCGGTCAACAAGGTCCGCATCAGGTGTTGAGGAACCAGGGCACCCTGACGAGAAGTGGGCTACTGGAACAAGAAGGCATCGGTGGGCAAGAGACGAAAACAGGGCGTTGTTGGAATGCTACTACGCAAGTAACCCTGGCGGAAGGGGCTACATGAATAGGATGAGAGACCTATGGATTCTTCGATATCCAACATCCACAATGACGGCGAAACAACTAGTAGCTCAGTGTTCCAACATTTTTCATCTGCAGTCTGGAGGTATTATAAAGTTGATGATAACAACATTGCCATAGCAAACTGTGAGATATGTAAACTTGGGAAAGCGACCCACTTCAGTACTGGAAAGAACATGCTAACCAGTTTCCCTCTATGGCTGCAACCCAATATCTCAGTGCCCCCTGTAGCTCTGTGGACAGTGAGAGACTTTAGTGCCGTTGCAAACGTCCTTGATGAGAACAGAAACAGGCTCAAACCTGACAAGGTAGAGATGTTAGTTTTCATTAAGAGAAAACACACATTTCCTTCTGTGAAACTTACTGCTATGATGACAGTAAGAGTTAGGAGTGCAGTTTCTAAAACCACATTACTAGCTTTGCAAACACTGTGGCACTTTTATTTTTTTATTTGTTTACATGTCTGCCGGATATTTAAGTTGAGGTGCTATTTGTTGTTATATTAGTCTTTTTTTATATTTACTGTTGCACTAAAGTCCATAAGTGAAGAATTTATGTTATTTATTACTTGATTGTTCAAGCTACCTCACAAAAGTGCTTTGTTTGTTAACAGAGTTGTTGAACGTTAAAATAAAGTGAATTAAATAAAAAAATGAGGAACATCCAGGATCTGTTTCTTCGTTCTGCTTCATTCTTTTTTTATGTATTATTGAAGTATCGGATCGGGACTTGGTATCGGTAGATACTCAAAATCAAATGACTCAGACTCGAGGGCAAAAAAACATGATCAGCACATCCCTAATTGACACCTTGCTCGGACACTGAGTGGCAAATAGCAAAGATTGCAGATGAGTGCATTTAATGTTTTTGTCTTGTGTAGCCATTCTAAAGCTAAACAAAGGACAGGCTTTGTGTATAACCTGTGGTATGTAGCATACACATGTAATATAATAGAATTTTACACATCAGCTGAAACAAAACCTTCTTGGATGGTCTCGTCGATTAAACATAAATCCATTTCATTTGTTAGATAATTGCACTAAAATGCTGTAAAGGGCAAAAAACGCACAAACATTGTCAAGTGAACCAGTTCGCAGACTTCAGAAGGCACTCACAGCAGTTGTTGCTGTCACGATTGAACTTGAGCTAATGCAGTAAAATGAGACACTCCAAGACCTGATGGTAGAGAGATGAACCAGAGCATGACCTTCAATGCAGACTGCAGAGTTCACAAGTTGCTTAGCGGTCACATTAGGGTCAACTTTTGAGATAAGGACGGTGAGGTACGTTGTCCTCCCATCATGGTGAATTGTATGTGTGGATTACATAGATTTATGTTTTATAAGACATTAAACCTGCAGTGTTCCGGTCAGAAACAGCACTGGACCATTTTTGTGTTTGGGCGTTTCGTCCAAGTGAAGCAATGAAAACTCACAACTGCATTTCTTAGCATGACAGGACAGGATGATCACACTGACGTGTTTAAGACGGGAAATTCACACACTTTAACTTTCAAAGAAATTGTGATGCATTAGTACAAACAAATAATTATTATAATTATAACAAATTAAATCAATTTCAGTGAAAGGTTTATGTGATATAAGCAGACAGGCGATGCAGGATGAATTATTCAGATTTATTTATTAATTAACTGATAAATTTAGATTGTCCAATTACTGTTGCTGCTAATTCCCTGATTAATACATTTCTTTAGATTTGTCAAATTTTTTGGTTAAATTGATTCATGAATAATTAATTGATCACTGATCAATTAATTATTGATCAGTGCAGCAATACAGGTTGCTACTATGCACCTGTATTTATAACTCAGGTTCATAGTAGCAACTCTTTTTAACCCAGCACAAGCTCTCTAAGAAGACGAGGAAAAACTCCTCAAAAACTTGAGCAGAAACCTCGGGAAAGGCAATTCAAAGAGAGATCCCCTTTCCACGGATTGCTGGGGGTGGGTGGGGTATTTTCCATTTATGGACAGAAACCATGTATGGAAAAGACAATACATGGAAGTTCCACTTCGATCTCGTGGTTTTTGTGGGGTGCCTCTACAGGGGCAGGACTGTAAAAATGACATAATTGTTAAAAACATACACAGATATGTGACATGGCTTCAGAATTTGACCAAATACTTCTCTGTTAGAGCTTATGCTCTGTAACCCTGTTGTGCTTGGAGTCGATAAGTCATTTGAACCAGGGATGATTTCGAAGTTCCTCTAGGGTGAGGCGGTCTTCATTTTTGGCTGCCAGGCAACCTAACAGAAAACTCTCGCAGTCTGTTTGGAAATATAATAGAGGGTGGGGTTCACGTTTGTCATACAAAAATCGATATGTGCGTTACCGATACAGATAACACATTAAACAGAATTTTCTGTTTTGTAACGCAAATCACGACAGGTTAACGAATTAACATCTGGCTTACTTTCTGAAATATCAGTACGCTTCGAATACATGTTCTTGGAAGAGGTGATGTTGTGTAACAGCCTATCCATCACTCTGCCCAGCTGCAAAACTGTGATGCAATCGGCTTTGGTGGCGTTAAACAGCAAGTTTAGAGCCGGTGATTTTCTCCCTAAAATCCAAAGAGAAATTATTAATGGTAAGAAATGAATGTGGACACAAGGCGTGTGGGCAGGCAAGAACATGTAAACAATGAGGCTGATGACCTACCATTTCTTCGAGTGACTGCTTCTGGTGTAAAAAAGACTCCACAGCCAAAATCAATGTATTTGACACGCGGACGTGCTAAACGTTCAGCTGAGTTTTCAATTATAATATTGTCTGTCTTAATGTCTTGATGGAAAACACCCTTGGAGTGCATTTCAGTGGCTGCATCTACCAACTGTCTCATTATGACCTGACAGACAAACGAAAGATACATTAAAACCATAAGATCTAAATTATTCATAAAAGACAAATATTTTATTCTTGCTACTCACTGACCTTAATGTCGCTCTCACAAATCCTTTCTCTTCTGTTTGACAGGTAAACGTCCAAGTCTATGTTGTTTTTGCCCCCTTCAAAGACCATAATAAGTTCTTTTTCTAAGTCATACCAGTCGAGTAAAACTGGGGTCACATTGCTGCTTGTAGCCTCTGGTCCTGCCCCCACTTTTATCAGCAATGCCACCTCCAGAGGAATCTTGGTCATTCTACCATTAAGAAGCTTTAGAAACAGAACATCCGGGTCAGTTGTCAAACATTAGGCTGTTTGAGGTACATGCTGCCCGAAAAACAACCGAAAAAGACAAACATCTCATACCATTGGCTGGCGGTAGAGCGACTTCTGAGGAACATGTTTTATTACCACCTGCATTAAAGAGAAAATGTGTTTGAGAAAAAGCACGTAGAGAACAGGATGAACTACAAGAAAACATGCGTAAAGTGCACACATAAGAAGCCATACTGGGAAGTTGTCTTCTCTACGTTTTCCAAAGAACACTTCCCCATACTGTCCTTCACCCAGCATATCCTGCTCGTCATATTTTTCTTCAAAGTCCTCTACAGAGAGACAAAACAAACACGGGGTTGTGATTAGTTGCATGTAGGAAAGCTGACATCGTCTCATTTTACACATTCGTACAGGCTCTGTTGGAAGCTTCCTAGTGATTACCAGATGGATGCCAGCTAAATTCTGAGAGCTTGGGAAGGGGCTCTCGTTTAAGGTGTGATTTGAACTTTTTCTTACCTGTAGTGTGACCGTTGTATGTGCTAGGTAAAGGATCATCTGTCTCATAGATGGAGTTGTTAGACTCCTCCTGTGAGCTTGATGTCCTCCTCTTTTTATTGCGTGGTTCTTTTGTTCCATCGCTGCTCTTTTGTTTGCTGCTCTTCTTTCTGAAAGCAGCTGCATAAACAAAAATCAATTAGACCTCTGAACTCCACACAGGCCTACAGATGATCAGAAACTATAAAACAAAAAATAATCTCTGTGAATGTCTCACTTACACTTCTCAAAGAAAACATGGCTGGGGCCTGGGGTTGGACTTTCGCTGTCCTTTCGTGTTTTGGAAGCTTTTTCCAATCTCTCTGTGGAACCATCTTTTCTTTTGGAGCTCTTGATTCGCCCATCTGACGTCCTGTCCTCTATCCTGAAGGACCAGGGCTCAGTGTGGCGTTCTGCAGTTTGTAAAAAAATCTGTTTGTTACTGCTGAATCAAAGCACCTGAAGTAAAAGCCTGTAATTTAAGATGAATTGACAGGTAAAGGAGACTTCACTCACCTAGATATTTACTTACACCCACAGCACGTGGCGTAGCAAAGGTCGGCCAAGATTTTGACGACATATCGGAAACTGGTTCAAAATTGTTCTCCCTGGACTAAACTCACTTTTAACTATTTGATTTTGTATGTAGTTGGAACTTTGAAAGGTCCCTTTTTAAAACTGTTTTGATGACATCACGGAACTTAACATTCTAATATATGCAAACTGTCTCTGCGTGGCTACACAACATCAAATTAAATCACAACAAAGGAGTAACAAGCAGGAGCAGTCTTACAGTATAGGTCACATGTTTGTCAGCATACAGAAGTGAAGTGAGCTATTCTGTTCATTTAGAAAAATTAACGCCTGCTTTATTAAAAGAAAACCAATAAATGTAAAAATAAAAGAATGCAGGAATAGAGACAAAGCCCAGATGTCCAAGTTTTGCAATGGGACATGAAAGCAGCTCAGGGAAGTTGACAGTGAGAAATTTGTCTCAAAAGCTCACCATGCTATCTGTGTGTATGAGGTGAAGCACATACATGTAAGGTTCTGTAAACCAGCGAGAGAGATGTTACATGAAGTTTTAGACATTTCTACGCACAGAAAGGTTTTTGAACGAGAAGCTTATCCAATTCGTGGAGCTGAGCTTAATAAATAGTGATTATTTATGCACAATTTATTTAGGTTTGGATATATGCATTTGTAAAATTGTTATACATGTGGTTAAATTGCTTCGTATTTGTGCGTGGACTGAAGCACGCGTTTTTGAGTCCTCCAAGATTACACACAAATCCCTGCACACATTTTTAAATTTGGTCATTCAGTGTCCCACTTGTCATTCTGGATAGCCCTGACCAACACCCAACGCACAATAATGTCACGAAAGCATATTTTTGGTGATTAGTATCCCATAGCTACTAACTGTTATCCTTAAGCTAGTAATTAGCATTAACTAACGTCCCGATGCTAGTAACAATCATCCTTTTTGTGCCAATCACCAATAATTAGCATTTCTAGGGTAAACCTTTTCCCAAACTATTAAAACTACCCATATGGCAAAGAAATAGAAAAAACTTATAAAAGACTTGCGTCAGCTTTAGCTTGCTAGTGAATCATATAAGGCTTAATATGATTTACTCATGGGGCAGCACGGTGGCATGGTGGTTAGCACTGTTGCCGCACAGCAAGAAGGTCCTGAGTTCAATTCCAACATCAGGCCGGGGTCTTTCTGTGTGGAGTTTGCATGTTCTCCCCGTGTTTGCGTGGGTTCTCTCCGGGTACTCCGGCTTCCTCCCACCGTCCAAAGACATGCAGCTTGTGGGGATAGGTTAATTGGATAACCCAAATTGTCACTAGGTATGAATGTGAGTGCGAATGGTTGTCTGTCCCTGTGTGTTAGCCTTGCGACAGACTGGCGACCTGTCCAGGGTGTACCCCGCCTCTTGCCCCATGACAGCTGGGATAGGCTCCAGCGCCCCCCGCGACCCTGAAAAGGATAAGCGGAAGTGAATGGATGGATGATTTACTCATGAAAGTGGCCACTTTCTCATTACTTTCATATATTGTTTTAGTAAGTATCCAAAACATACAAGTTTCATTTATATAAATGTTCAAGGGATCTTACATCTGTTTTCACTCTTGTATGCTTTTCATACAAGTTTCACACAAGACAGATACAAACCTTAGAAGATTTATATATATCTTTTCCATACTGACTGCATTTTTTTTTAATCCTGCCACCAGGGGAATGTTGGTCATTTTTCCCATTAAGAACATTCTGGTCAGTGTTCAAACATTACATGTACATGTTACAGGAAAAACAACAGGAAAAGACAAATCTCATCATTGGTAGGCAGTCGACTGCTGAGTAACATGTTTAACAACCTCCTGCATTATAGAGAAAATGTATTTTAGAAAAATCATGTACAAAATCGATGAACTAGAAGAACTGTAAAGTGAACAAATAAGAAGCCATACTTGCGTTTTCTAAAGATAGGCCAAAACCTTGCTGCATCCACCCCTTCATATTTTTATTCAAAGTCTTCTGCAGAGAGACAAAACAAACACGGGGTCGTGATTAGTAAAGCTGACATTGTCTTAGCTTAGAAGGGGCTCTCTCGTTGCAGATTTTAACAATCTCTTACCAATCCTGTGATAAAATGGAAAAATCCACGCCGGGCATCGGTCTCATAGATGGAGTTGTTGGAGTCCTCCTGTGAGCTTGATGCCCTGCTCTTTTTATTGTGTAGTTCTTGTGTTCCATCACTGCTTGATTTTTATTTACTGGTCTTCTTTCTGAAAGCAGCTGCAAAAAAAATATACATGTCTACAGATGATCATTTACTATAAATCAAAAAATAGTCACTTCAGTGTTGTCTGTCTGCCTTACCACTACATATTTCAAATACAACGAGGGTTTCTAGACAAAAACATGGCTGTGCCATGGGCTCCCCGGTGTCACCTATTGTAGCCAACCTTTACATGGAAGAAGTGGAAAGAAAGGCTCTTGGCTAAAGGGAGAGTACCCAGCCACTGGTACAGATATGTAGACGACATCTGGGTCAAAATCAAAACACAAGAAGTGGAATCCTTCACTGCGCACATTAACGCTGTGGATAAAAACATCAAGTTCACCAGGGAAGACACAAAGGACGACTGCTTGCCTTTCCTGGACTGCGCCGTGCACATTGAAGAGAACGGCAACCTCAACATTGAAGTTTACCGGAAGCCCACACACACGGACTAGTACCTCCTCTTTGACTCCCATCATCCTCTGGAACACAAACTTGGAGTCATTAGGACCCTACACCACCGGGCAGAACATGTTTCCTCTAAGCCTGAAGGGAAAAAGAAGGAACACACACGTGTAAAGGAAGCACTAAAAACATGTGGTTATCCTAACTGGGCGTTTATAAAGTCAGCAAAGATGCACAGAAAAGAAGACCAGACACCAGCGAGGGAGGATAAGAAGGACAGACGCAACAACATTGTCATCCCCTATGTAGCCGGTGTATCAGAAAAACTCAGGAGAGTTTTCTCCAAGCATGACATCCCGGTGCATTTCAGACCCAGCAACACGCTCAGACAGAAACTGGTTCACCCGAAAGACAAAACTCCTAAACACAAACTTAACAATGTGGTGTATGCTGTACAGTACAGCGAGGAATGCTCAGACCTCTACATTGGAGAGACCAAACAGCCACTTCACAAGCGCATGGCACAACACAGAAGAGCCACCTCCACAGGACAAGACTCAGAAGTCCATCTGCATCTTAAGGATAAAGGACACTCTTTGAGGATGCCAGTGTTCACATTTTGGACAGAGAGGACAGATGGTTTGAAAGAGGAGTGAAAGAAGCATCTATGTCCACTGTGAGCGACCATCTTTGAACAGAGGCGGTGGTTTACGACACCAACTCTCTGCCATCTATAATCCAGTTCTGAGATCCTGTCACTACCTGATCTGTACCGGAAACCCGATCGGTACCCCGCATGCGCTAAAAGGTGTCTACTTCTGGTCGAAGCGTTTTACGATAGAACAGAGTATCTGTTAAGATGTTAAGAATAATAAGTATCTCGTAAAATGTTTCCAATAATGAAACATTTCAATATAATGTAGACAAAAACTAAAACTAAAAAGATAGTTACGGATCAGGACTCCCTGATCCTTACTGCGCATGTGAAAATTCTGACCATACAAATCGGGTCTACCCGATCCTTGCCACCTCCAGAGGAATCTTGGTCATTTCACCATTAACCCTAGAATACTATCGCTAAAAGTAGTAACACCATCACTAACGCCAGGTGATTTTATACCCAACAAAAAGTACTTGTCATCAAAATATGACAACACATGACAAATTAGAGTGGTCTTCTTTTTTTCTTCAACTGTGCCATGTCTAACAAAATGATGAGAATAAAAGAAAGAAAAATCTGTGTTGCTCTGGACTCCTCTGCAGAGCTGCAGTTTAAAAACTTTAAGCTGTGTTTAAAGTGTTTAAAAAACACTTTCTCCATAGCTTTCATCACTGGTAGATCTACAGTCTGAGGCTGGAGCCAAACAAACCTGCAATATTACAAAACCTGTTTTGATCAAGCTCACGAGCAGGATGAAGATTTGGGGAAGGAGGTACAGCTGCATGCAGGTTTACTGTAGCGGCTCAGTTCCATCAAAGGGTTTCCACTAATTTAAATATATTTAGCCAGCAGGGAGAAGCAGACTTACTTCTTTGTGCCTGCGTGTGATAAATCTTTCATGCCTTGCTCCAGAAAAACTACTTTGATACTCTGAGGTTGATGTGGAGTGTTGGATATGGAGCATCTCTTACTGCTCTCCTCATTGCTGTTGTGGTTTTCTGCTGTTTCAGGTTGGTTTTGACACCAGAAACCTTTTCATTAAAGGCTGAAAACGACCACATTGAAATGTCAGAATAAAACATTAAATATGCTTGTGAGAGTTTCCATGTTAGTGTAATTGTAATATATATATATTTACTTTATTTCTGCTGTAAATTTGGAGTTTTAAACAGAGCTGTATGAGAATTGACTCACTTTTGGAGGCAGCTTCAAGTGGCAACTAGAGGAACTGCAGTTTTTTGGCATTTGCGTTAGCTATTAAAAAACAAACAAACAAAAACACTTAAGCTAATGCTTGTTGATAATTGACTTTGGTTAATTGACTCATGTTGTTTGGATGAGCAGAGGTTCATAGCAAAGGCTGCAACCCACATCCTGCTCATTATGGGCAAAAATAGTCTGAGCATGCTCAAAATGTGCCCTTATAGCGGCCCTCTTCTCAAAACAATAACGTTATAGCTGTCTATAAAATCCTTCCTGGGTTACACTGTCTCCCAGGTGTTTCAGCTGCAGTACAAAGCAGCAGTGACCTGCTTCACTTCTTCACTTCTGTTGTCTAACTTTTCCTGGTTGCTGGTGAGGGGCCTGTATCTGCACACTGTGCTGCTCTTCAACTTCATTCAAACCAGGAAGCTGCTGTGGATGTTGGCTGGGGTCATTTTGGTCATTTTAAATAATTTCTTTGTCAGACACAAGATTAAAGAGTAAACAACCACAAATATTATTAATCATACTATGATCAGCATTAAAGCATTAAAGTGCTGATTATGTTCAAGCTTAAAATGAAGTTCCTGAATCTCGTGACCAAAATCACGAGTGTTCAGATTATCTTTCTTTTGTTTTATGGACCACAGATAAACTTTGTGATCTTCCTGAACATCAGCAGCATCAGTTTTCAGAAGATGAAGAGCACCCACGTGAACCAAAGTGAGATATGTGTGTACATGTTACATGGGGTTATTGATTATCTTAACATCTGTTTTGTAGCCCCCCCCCCCAACATGAGTGTTTTATATCTGTCTCCTGCTGATCTGCTGCCCTCTGTAGGAGACTCGTCCACTCTACTCGCCTCCTTATCCCTGTTTGGCTTCACCATGTTGTGTTCAGCATGGGTCCTTGACTCTACCTGGAGTTAGTTTTAAGCTCCTTCCAGGTAACGACCCAAAAAGTCCTAAAATATGTTGTCAGCTATTTACATTTTTCATGTTGTCTCAGGGTTTTACTGGAGTGTTGTACTGATTTCTAAATCGAGAGGTAACTTTGTTTTTTGCAAAAATGCATCTTCACAACATCAAGATTTGTCAAATGATCAGCAATAAAAAACATGACACTCTATTGATTGCATAAACGCAAAGAAAGACTAATGAGTATCGTGTGTTTTATAGCAACTTTGTATATTTTTATTCTTGGGGGGGCTAGCAGTCTAGTTCATTCATATTTTCATTCTTTTCATCATCTCTGTTTGTCTGAACTCGGAGTCGGCGAAGTGAAAAGGTCTCATTAGCAACTGCTTCATGTGTACACAGGCACGGACGCCCCATCAGAGACCTCAGGGGCCCCCAGGTACAAAGAAACAAAGGGCAGGCATGAATGGATAGGTGGAGGAGCCACACAGTAACCCTCTGATGAAATGAATTCCTCCTCTGCTCTCTGAGCCCGAGTTTGATGAGTGTGATAAAGTGAGACCATTCAGCACAGGGAGGGTTTAAAAAAGGTCTCCATGTTGAAAAAAGCATTCCCACCCTCCCCGTCTTCCTGTCTGAATGGCCTAACCCACATGGTTCACAGAGTGCCCTCCCCCCATGTGTATGTTGTCTTTTCCTATTATAGCGCAGAGTTATCCGGCTGCACGGCCGTAGGACTCTGGTGTTGGATGGCACCCGGCCTGTGCGTGTTTCTGGAACAGCTTTCATCAGAAAGACTTCACTCCTTCAGTCTGCACAGCCCTCAGAATGAATTCCACAGTGAATGTGAGCGATGAGCATACTGCTCATGACTTCATGTTTACGTCCGAATCTGTGGGAGAGGGACATCCTGGTGAGTAGAGGAGTGCTGCTCATCATGTGAGAAACTGCTTTGAGCACTTCAGTGATCATTGATGGTTTTGAGGAATGCGCAGAAGCCTGATCGGTGCTGCATAAAGTCTACTTTCGTGGAGCCACACGGTGCTGATTTGCAGAGGAGGAATCCTGGACTGAGAAAACTTCCACTTTAGTTCCAATATAAGCAGAACTTGTGTTTTAAGCTGAACATCTGATGAGTCACTTTTTTGTCATGAATAATTTTTACATCTGCAGCTGCTGCTGGAGCCATTTTTGTGGTGCAGACATGTGACGTATGTTCTGTTAGGAAAAATGTGTCTTCGGCATAATATAAATTATGTCATTTATAAAGTAAATAGTGCAGCTTTGCATCTTTTCTTTAATTTTCTAACAAGTGCATGTTTAATGCACTGCAGATGTTTAGCTTAATCCCACCAGGAAGTGGTTGAAGAGCAGATTTAACCTCATCACACTTTGCATTTTTACAATTCTGCAGAACGCAACATGTGAGCATCATGTAAAATAATCAGGATAACAGCTAGATTTTATAACATCTTTGCTGATGTGTAAAAATGGTGCTGGTTCACAGATAATCCCTTATATCAGGTGAGTTTTGAAGACGTGTGCAGTGAAAGTGTCAGCAAATATAATTCATTTAAAATTACACATAAACATGTGCTTTAAATGTAAATGTGTAGTTAAAACAGCAGCAAACCAAACTTTACAGATGGGGAAAATCCATGTTTGTAATTTAAAAAAAACAAACAAACATGAAAGTTTCACCAACAATAAGCCGATAATATAATATTTCTACATTTTTAAGGGTGGTGTAAAAAATGTTCATCATAAAGCAGGAGAGTAAATTGAAGTTACAGAAGCTTCAGTGCCGTAGTGCTGATACAGTTTGGGAGTGCTTTGATGATGGAGTTAGAGTGTACCGTGTCACGCTGGCGTGTACTCACCAAATCAAGGCTATTCATAGTCCTGTAACTGCCAGAGGGAACGGGGTGATATTTTCAGGCTCTGCCCAGATCAGGAATCTGGCATGTGCAGTAAAACGATCGCACGACAGACCGAACCAGCACACATGCAGATATTTATGCCTTTTAGACTTCTCCTTATTCTATTTTTTCCAGATAAGATATGTGACCAGATCAGTGATGCTGTGCTGGACGCTCACCTGAGGCAAGACCCTGATGCTAAGGTGGCTTGTGGTGAGTTTGAGTTTTTGTCCACCAGAGGGAAGCAACACACAGGGAAGAGGGACATTTAAGATGGATGCAAATGGTAATAGTGTCCATGACATTGGTTAAGTGAGACATTAAAAAAGGAGGGTGGGTTGCAAACAGGCTTGCATTTTCTTTTGACTGTAGTGGGAAAAAAATCGCCCATCAGAATATGTCATGTAATAAATGCAGGTGTGATAAGATAAAGCTTCCCACACCTCAGCATCTTTTGTTTGTATTTCTTTAAATTATATGTCTATTTTTAGTTTATGGAATGAAAAAGACGATATCGCTGGTTCTGCTGCAGGAAAACTCCGTGAAATATTCATTAACAGCAGTGATCCTGACAAAAGAACATCACTTCCCAAGCAATTCAATTCACTTTAATCCAGGACACCAGCAGTATTACATCAATAGTCAGGAAGGACATTCACATCTGATGGCATGAATACACATATGCAGTGTGATGTCCTGTGTGTGGATGAAACAGAGACGGTGTGTAAGACGGGCATGGTGCTGCTCTGTGGGGAGATCACGTCTCGAGCCAACGTGGACTACCAGAGAGTGGTGAGAGAAGTCATCCAGCATATTGGTTACGATGACTCGCAGAAAGGTGAGTGAAGTTTTTAACGTTTTGGCTGTAACTTCATCTACACTGGGATTCCAGGGAGGAGAAATGCTTTCAAACGAAAACATCCCTTTACTTCTTTTTCCTCTGTTTTTCCAAGGATTTGACTATAAGACCTGTAACGTGCTGGTAGCCCTGGAGCAGCAGTCACCTGACATCGCTCAGGGAGTTCATATCGATCGCACGGAGAGCGAAATCGGAGCTGGAGACCAGGTCATCTGAGCGCTTACATTTCAATTCTGGACTGAAACACCAGTTTTTTCTTCTTCAGAATATAAAGTGCTGCTCTTTGACTGTACTCGTGCTGCGTGGACAGGGTCTGATGTTTGGATACGCCACAGATGAGACAGAGGAGTGCATGCCCCTCACCATAGTCCTCGCCCACAAACTCAACGCTAAGATGGCCGAGCTGAGACGAAATGGGACGGTCCCCTGGCTCCGCCCAGACTCAAAGACACAGGTGAGGTCAGAGTAGAAAACTGTGTAGACATGCCTGAACCTGCAGTGTGAGGCAGCCAGGGTGGCATACTTAATGGCATGTTTGTTGTGGAGAAGAAAGCTGAAGATGCTTCCATGAATCCCCACGAATGAGGTCCAGCAGCCTTCATTCAACTCTTCATGTCAGCTTTGTTGGGCTCTGCTTTAACAGTGTTATTTGTGAAGTAGATTCAGTAGAAGTAGCTCCCTCGTGTGACACACCCGAGTCTCGTTAAATCAAAGTAAAAGGACTAAAAGTGGCAATGCATATTGTTTTGCTACAATAACATTAACATAATGTTCACCTTTCCGTAGGTAACAGTTCATTACGCCCAGGAAAATGGCGCTGTGATCCCCAAAAGAGTGCACACTGTGGTGATCTCCGTGCAGCACGATGATAACGTGTGTGTGGAGGAGCAGAAGAAGGTGCTGAAGGAAAAGGTCATCAAAGCCGTGGTGCCTTCACGCTACCTGGACGAGGACACCATCTATCACCTGCAGCCCAGCGGACGCTTTGTGATTGGAGGGCCGCAGGTAAAGAGCCGAGAACATTCGAAGTCCCCGAATACTGTTTACGTTGATGTCACGCAGCATGAGGATGCTGGCAGTGGCTTTTAGTGCACAGCTCAAATATGATGGGGTTCAAATCTAATTTCATAGTTTCAAAGTTTAAAAACAAATAATGTAGTGAAGATCTTGCTTGCTTGTGTGCTGTGTGGATATAAATCTTTGTGATTTCTCTCAGGGTGATGCAGGAGTGACGGGCAGGAAAGTCATTGTGGACACGTACGGTGGTTGGGGGGCCCACGGGGGCGGAGCTTTCTCTGGAAAGGACTACACCAAGGTGGACCGCTCGGCCGCCTACGCTGCACGCTGGGTGGCAAAATCTCTGGTGAAGGCCCAGCTGTGCAGGCGGGTACTGGTGCAGGTGAGACCTCGTTCCAGTTTAATCTTCTCCAAAAGGTTTCTGAGATGTGTGCAGGATGAAAAGGCTCAGAAGTCTGTTTTCTGAGTCCTTTTATGTAAATCATTCTTTTGGATTTTTGTGGGACTCATTTTTCTACATATTTAAGGTGGAAGCTGTTATGCTTGTCATTACTTTGCGGTTCAAACCTTCTGCTTGTGAGGGGAAACAATCAAAAGGCTTAAATAGAGAGGGATGGTGGTGCACCAAGGTCCAATTAAAAGTAAATTAGAATGGTTTTAAACTGTGAATCAAGGAGTTAGTTTCTCCTTTTTTTGGACTTTATAAATAAATAATAATAAAATAATTGTGGAAAACCCAGCAGTACGTGGCACTATCACCAGTGGTATCACCATCATCACGGTGGTGATAAAACAACATGTTCATTAATCACATGCTGTGTTTTTCCAGGTGGCGTATGCGATTGGAGTGGCCCACCCGCTCTCCATCTCCCTGTTCACCTACGGCTCCTCTCCAAAGAGCGAGAAGGAGCTTCTGCAGATCGTCAATAAAAACTTTGACCTCAGACCTGGAGTCATAGTCAGGTCAGGGTTGCACCCACACCACCGCCTCAGTGTTTTATAATCTCTGTCCAAATCTGTTAGACTGTACTGAATCTATCTCGACTGCTTGCTGCTGCAGAGACCTGGACCTAAAGAGACCAATCTACCAGAAGACTGCATGCTACGGACACTTTGGCAGGAAGGAGTTTCCCTGGGAGGTCCCGAAGAACCTCAACTTCTAGAGTGTGTGTGTGTGTGTGTGTGTGTGTGTGTGTGTGTGTGTGTGTGTGTGTGTGTGTGTGTGTGTGTGTGTGTGGTGGAGTCCATATGGCCTTTGTTCATTGGTCTGAGTCTGAGGTGTGGGTGGGTCAGAGGTGTTCCAGCTGTAGGTGACAAAGTCCCTAAATGACAACCCTGAAGCATGAGAGATATTTACACTTTAAATCTAAACTGTTAAAGAAAAAAATAAACTGAGTGGATGACCAAATTTTAAAGGAGAAAAACCGTGCATGGGTCATGTCTTAAGCGTTTCAGTGAGTTTTTGAAGAGCCTGTGGGGATTCTGCACATGTTTGAGGTTTTCTCGCGCTCGTTTATGACTATTTCAGTGACAAACTCTGACAGTCAGCTAAACCTCTTTCAATAATTTTTATCACAAGCGTCTCAGTTTTGCCTGGATAAAAATGAACTTCCATCCACCTGATTAAGGGTCACTGGGGGGCTGGAGCCTTTTCCAGTTACTATAGGGCGAGAAGCACGGACAACACATTGAACTCACATTCACATCTATAGACAATTTAGAGTCACCCCGTAACCCAACTCTACTACCTGCATGTCTTTGGACTGTGGGAGAACGCCGCAGTATGCAGAGAGAACCCACGCAGACACAGGGAGAACGTGAAACAGCCAGATGGTGGATTTAACTCAAGACATTCGGGCTGTGAGGCCACCGTGCTCCCCTGTAAAGGAATTTATTTAACATGAACAACAACACACGTCTACCAAAGACGGATGACGTCAGAGGACATGGAAGTAGACAGTCTGAACTGCATCAGCTGATGACACCCTCACATCAGCTGATTTTTGTTTTTAAAAGACAACTTTAGAAGTCAAAATGACTCCGAAGCGTCTTTAAACCATACATAAAAACAATTTTTTTTAATCAACTTGCTATCAGGGGTGGGAAGGTGTACTAGTATCTGCTGCTCTTGGCACTTCCCAAGGTTTAGCCAACTTTCCCCTACATGGCTTGGATGTGGCATCCTGCTCCTGTTACATTGCATGGAAAACACCAAAATGATTTTGATGAGAGTTTGAGGTTAAAAGAACAGAAGCTGAATAATCTTAAAACTTTTCTGCAGGTGTATAAACTTTTCCTCAGGCTTCATGCAGTTTAGTACGATAACGTGAGGTTTTTAATGAGATGCAGACGACCAAAGATGAAATCCAAATGTCCCAGAGAGGCTTCATAGGTTAGCATTTATTAAAGTTTAAAGTTAAGATTTTTCTTCCTGCATGCTTACCAGAATATATATTTTTTACTATCAGTGTAGAATTTTTTTGTTCGTTTGTTTTTCTGTTAGATACAGATGGGTACAAATTAGGGAAAAGAAACAAAACACTAAGTTACTTTGGCCACCGTGTGGCGCCAAAGGAGCTCCGATGCGCGTTGGTTTTGCTTCAGAACTCTGCAGGAGGGATGGAACAGTTCTTCTAAATGCCAGTCATCATTTTGGTCTTTTAATATGCGTTGATACAAAATTTCACAATTTCTGGTATTCATCTCATCAAACCAATATGTCTTCTGCATGGGAGCCTTTTCAGTTTCATCAGGATGGAAATGTTTATTCAATCAGAACAACTTTGTACTGATTTGCAGTGAAGCTTTCCTCTAAACAGACCTCGAGGATCTTTACAGTTTAAAGCTCAATAAACCTGAGTCAGTGGATTCCTGTATATCTAAAGCTAACCACAACCCGTTATGTGTGCACACACTGCATCATTTCATATTAACTGTTTTATTGTTTTACTTTCAGTGTACATTCTAAGAAATACAATTCGAATAAAGTATTTCCGCGTATGATGAAATTAAAGATGTTAAACATATCAATGTTTCACCTTCATAGTTTGGTCCCATTAAAGAGAAATTATACAGCATTTTTTTTGGGCAATGAGCTGAAATGAGAAACAACAAAAGACAAAACAAAACTGAGCTTATCTGGGAAATATGAGAGAGCTACATGGGCAATGTTGCCTTAAACAGTTGCACCAAGTGTTGAAATTCAGCTTAGAATAACATTTACATCTTTAAGCTACTTTGATAGGAGAGGCTAGTTGTCGCACATGAAGCCCACCTGCTGTCTGATGTTTGTGGAAACCCTCATCTTGCGGCGGAGGTATGGAGAGAAACCTGATTGTGTAACAAAACTTCCTGAGTAGAAACAATGCAAGGCTCCAGGACTGACGGCGCGCAGCGAGGAGCGACATCTGAGGCACTTTCAGAGACCGATTGTTACTCTGAGACAATTAAACCAAACATTAAGGACTGTGGGTGTGCTCGTGTGTGTTTCTTTGTTGGTGTTTGTGTTCGCACAGGCATTGTTGGTTTTGTGCAACGCTTTGCAGGACAGAAGTCTGTCAGTCTTTGGTCACTGCTGAGGAGAGCAGCTTTGGCACTTTGTAGTAGTGAGTGTGGTGATATGCAGGGTGCAGCATCCAGGCTCTAGACTCTGTTACTCTTTCACCTCCAGTTTTTCTCAAACACACCATAGTTAAGTCACAGGATCGATAAGCTCTCTGGCTGGTGGTGGCCGGCTCCGCCGACCTCTGTCTTGTGGTCAGAGGTGGAAAAGCTCTGCATCGCCCCGCCTTTGGAGAGCACCATCAGGGTGTTCCCCGACATGCCCCCAAACTCAAAGGCAAAAGTCCCGTAGAAGAACATGATGATCGAGCAGTAGATCCACTCAAAGATGGCGGAGGCGTGCTGCAGGGCATAGCTCTCCTGGCAGAAAAAACCCCCACCTGGTGATCAGAGGGTTAAGGCGAGCAACGGCTGCACAGTGGTTCAGTTTGACATTGTTTTTATTGCTCACGTACTGAGATGTACTGGTCGCTACTTTGAATTCGGTCCTGTGCTGTTAATATTAAGATGGCTTCACCATCACATTGACCTGTGGTCAAACCTGACCCTCTAACACAAAGGCCCACCTTAAAAAAAGTGATGGTTTACCTTTACCATTAACAGCCAGTAAAAGGTTTCCTGTGTCTGAATGCAAGCCTCACATAGACTCCAATCAATACCATCCATACATTGATGACCTGCCTTTTAAAGGTGCATTGCAGATGTTTTATCCCTAAATGTTTCCTTACAGACTTGACAGCAATAAACTCATCAGACACATAATCTTCATGACCAAAAACTCCAAGTGAGCATTTGGTTTCAGTCATGTTTGTAAGGCTGTGTGCTCTCCAGCAGGGGGCAATGCAACATACCATACATTATAAATGTGCTGGATTTTAAACACTATAAAGAGCGACAGTCACGTGTGCAGACAGACAAGAAATTAGTTTTATACTAATGTGCTGATTTATTGCAAAAAGCTGAGTTTCTCTGGATTTATGCACAAACAAAGCCAGTTATTGTGAAGCAAAATGACCCTTTTCTCCCTAATATATCCCTGCAACCCATTCATGCTGTTTTAAAGGTTTGATTAGCTACAAATGCATCTTTTAGTAAATTTAGGGGAACAAACTGTGTTATGTATAATGGATCATAAAGTAACTACTAAAGTGCTACCACACTTACAATTATGTCATTAAATATGTTTAAAAAAAAGGTCTTAAATTCTCTTCTTAATGCAAAAGTCATGTAATCAGTACTGTAACAAGTCACTTTCATTACTTTTAAGAAAAGTAACAAATAATGTGCAGTAATACATAACCTTTTTTTGGCTCATTTAACCATCATGAAAGAGAAAGAAAAACTATAGTTATTAAATCTTATATTGACCCATCCATTCACCCTGAGCTCCTTGTTCCTGTCTCTGTGGCTCCATAAATCTACAACTTACGCTGCCATAGGTCCTACAGCCACTAGAGGGTGCCATGTCTCGAAATAAATCTTTCTCATCCAGCTCTGACACAACCCTGCAGGGTATCTATGCCACTGAATGTGGTTTTAAACAAGCAAATAAATAAATGCAAGCAACCTATGTGTTAGGGAACTGTTTCACTAAAAATGTACTGTAGTGCTGGAAGAAACACAGATAAGCTTCAAGGATACTGAGCACCAGGGCGATGAGGGCCAGCAGGGCCATCCCCACTCGTATGTGACCTATCCAGTATTCCTCCTGGGTCTTGGCCAGTCTGTAGGTCAGAGCCGACTGAAGGCACACAAACAGCATGCTGGAGGGGAAGGCGACCCCAGCTCCCACGTAGTGAAGGACTTTAGCAAAATCCACCTGAAAAAAAAGAAAACAAAACAGGCGGATAAACAAAAACTGTTACACTGAGGATCTGGAAGTAGAAACACGGCACGGAAGAGAAAGACATAGTCGGTCTTTCTCATCCACTATGAGAACTATGAGAGCACGGCGCTAACACGTTAACAAGCAACCCACGCTAACGCGCTGACGCCGTCCAGCCCCACGCACGGGGCGATCCACGCTAACTCGCTAACTGTGATTTGCAGCATTAATGCGGTTATGGCGTTAACGTCATTTTAACGAGATTAACGCTGACAGCACTATTTTAAATGCAACTAAAATCCTCCTCTTTTGTGTTTAGGACAAAATAAATTCATGTGATATCACCAACTGTCTTTCATAATGCTCAACATCATCATATAGCAGCCACTGTTTGACTGATGTGAGCTCAGCACCAGGCTTTATTAGATTTTCTGCACTGAAAATCACGTTAACCGGAGGATGAACACTGCCACCCTGTTGACTGGGTGAGGTTTAAATTTGTTGTGTAAACCAAAATATCTTAACAACTCTGGGAAATTTGTGTTATATTAACAAATGTAACATAAATCAATTACTGGATGTATTTCTCTCAAATACGCCTTCAGGCTTTAGTACAAATCTGGAGATGGAAGTTTAAACAAGTCCTTTACTCAGCAGAATATCATTTACACCTCACAGTCTTCTTGTGGGAACATCAGGACAAAACAAAGCTGATAGAAATGCAAACAGAGGTCATTGTGACCCAGCACTGTTACCAAATCATCTGTCACAGGAAGCTGTAATGATACTAATTTACAAAGGAAGCTGGATCATCACCATTATCATCTCTGGCACTGGAGGAGGCGACACGGTGTCAGCTCGAACTCCACACATAACAAGCCGGAAGATTACCCGTCACTGCCATGAGCTCATCTCGTTTCAGCATCACAGACGGAGGAAGTTCATTTTTAATATTTTCTCCTGCAGTCTGTGAGAGCACGTTTTCAAATACAGCAGCTGATTTTATGACGACACATCTCCTGAGCCTGGACTTGTGGTTTATTATGGAGAAAAAGCAGCGGTTTAAGCCGTCTGACCACAGGGAAGAGACCCAGAGAACAAACAAATACTCATTCAGCTTGAGTTATAATTGTGCTTACACCAAGCATCTGAAAGTTTTTTGTTCATGAGCTACTTTTATGTGGGTCGTATCCTCTCATATTCATCTCAGCATTAATTATAAAACTGATTCAAAAGAGAAGGGCGAGCAGGAAGATAGATAAATCTTCACATACGAACAGAGGAAGAGGAGTCAAATGCAGGACAGTTGACAGGTAAGCTGAGGCTGTGTAAAATCCTAAAAACAAGCCATGTTCATATACCAAAGGGCAGTCAGGGAGGCCAAACAATCCAGGCAACAGGTCACACAGAAGGAAATAACTACAAACACAAGGAAAAATACTGAGAACACGAGGAATTGTGCGGCAGGAGGTTTATGTCCTGAGGACACTTATTAGAAACAAACAATTACCAAGAAGGGGTCACGAAGAAAGACAAGAAGTAAAACTGACAACAGTGTAAAGAGAACAGTCCAAAAAAGGACCGCCTACCTGCTTTTCCTAACCACTTTTCCTCGACCTCGACGGAAAACATCACGAGGCGAAGGAAAGGAGCGAAGGAGAAATGATGAGTACTGTGCACAGGGATTATTGTCTGCCGTACAGAAACTACAACACCCAGAACATGGACTACAAAATGTGTTTAACACAGCTTTATCTTTATTTTGTGAATTATGGTGCGTTATTATTCCCACGTGTTTTTGCACTACTGTATCGGCCTGCAGGGTTCTCGGGTTTCTCAGTCAGAGCCACACTTTGCTCAGGTCATCTGCTCAGCTTCATGCTGCAGAAGCAAGTATCAGCAAACATTTCGATGGTGTT